TTCTCCAAATGCGTGTCAACCCATGACGATTTCGTAACGTCGGCAGTGTGAAGAAGTTACTGCTGCGAAAGAATCGATTTAGAAGAGTTCCTACGCAACCAGGAAGTTCACTGTCCCTAAGTAAACGCAGTCAATGAGCCGCTACCCATCTGTTTTCATTCTGATGACCCAGCGTCGATCTGTCTTCTGCTAAGGGCGAGGCAAAACGTGAATTCACAAAAGTGTCAGAGCGAGCTCTAATTTCGCGTACATGTTTGTCTTCATATCGTCTGCTCTTTTTCATTTGCTATACGACAACTCCGCATCAGCAGAAAATGTAACACAATCAGACACGGCTAAGGGCACAAACTTTGCCACCGAGGAAAACGCTCACGGTTGAAAGCTGAAACGACGTAAATTAATCGAGAACGAAGAGACCAAGCTCCATCTTAGTCGTTATGCTCGGGGCTCGATCGCTTCGCTGCGGCCTGTTGCTTGACTGGGGGACGCTCGGTGATCCAGCCAAACTTCCCGAGTTCGTCGCTGGAGGTTCGGCCCAGCTAGAGTTCCTCGATATACAAGAACTCTAGGCCCAGCAGACAAAAGCAACGCATTTGCGTTGTATCGCGCCTCGGGCCGCTCGTTCGCCGCCAGTTACCGTGACTGAAGTCCCCCGACAGTTCTTTTTACAAGTAACGACAACCAACGCAAATGACGAAGCACATTCCGCAGGAACAAAATGGCGTCATTCACTTGTCTTCAGCTGTGCACCGCCATTCCCTTCCTAAAACCTGCAGCGTCACGCAGTCGGCGCTTCAAAGAGTGCAGCTACTTGAAGGAAGCACGAAGGGCTCCTTTAATCGAGGAACTTTAACCGTGGCCGCTTCCTCTTCTCGTCGGAAACACCAAAGAGAGTTGTCCCCGAGTAAAGTTGTTAAACGCCTCATGATGTTGTCCGTCCTCCAGCTTCGTTCTCTTTGAAAATTCGCGTCGTTTGCACCGTGAACAGATACCAACTAGCTTCAACTTTTTGCTCTCTCGTGGAAAAAGCTGCGGGCTGCGCGACTCATTGTGGAAGTCGTTCAACGCAGGAGAGAGCGGCGAACGGAAATCAAAGTCGGCACACAGTAAGTTATAATTCATAGATTCTTTTTTTTTTTTTTTTCAATAATACACCAAGAAAATGCAGTTCATATGTGCGATGCAAGCCCCGTAAATCATCCAGCATAAAGACCATTTCTCGCAATTAAAAAAAAAAACGACAACAGAACGCGAATAATACGTGTGATTTGACAACCTGGTGAGCGAACAACTCACCAGGAGACCCAATACACCCCGGATAAAATTTGCCTCGCGTTTCGCGTAGCCTCTTCCCCGTGGCCCGACAAACCTTCGCCAAATGTAAGCAAAGGAAAGCGGCCACCGGGTACACGTTCCACGCGTCACGCCTACGCCGATTCGGCAATCCTCCACCGACATTAAACTAAAGGTCGTTTAAGCGCCTAACGACATTTTAAGACAACTCGCCGATCCTCCGAGCGGCCTATCCACCAACCCAGTGTTTCCAAACAAGCCCGCTTTTCCCACACCAGGTGTGGGCACTGCGCTTGCGCAGAAACAGAATTCGGGAGGAATGAAGCTTTTGCGCATGCGCAGTGCCGACTGTAGCGCCACCTCAGTGGCGTGATGTCAGAGAGTTGGTCGTTTCCAGTGCTACGATCCAAAGGAGAACAATCGAAGCAGCGCCAAAAGTGCGTCGTTTCTTATGCGTTAGCTATATGACCGGCTAAACCAGTCGCGCATAGCGTATATGTCATGATCCTGCGCTTTTCTCTGCGTGATAGCCACCGGTGATAGCGAATGCTCAAAGAGCACCATGACGATGCAGTTTTGGCGCTGTTTGATAGCCACTATCGGGAGTGTAGTGTAAGAAGCAAGATCCCGCTTTGGAGTGTGGACTTGGAACGTTGTCTTTGTTTCACAATCCACTTTGCGTCGTTGTCACGTGCCCGACCTCGACGCTCTTTACTGGCCAGCGGTTTCGTATACTTTCCCCCGATTGCCTAGTGACATATAGCTCTGCGTAACGATGAATCCAAGTGCTTCCTTGGCATTCGAGCGACAGCGTGGATGTCGGGGGGACGAGCGGTCACGAGACCATGTTCGAGGCACATTCCGTCGCCAAAAGAGACATCGTAAAAGCGGCTTAGAGATAAGCGACGACTCTGTGCTGTTTAGGGTCATCGCGACATCGTCCCATGTAGGCATAAACGAGGCCTGCACAATGAGAGGGCAAAAACAGTTTTAAACAAAAGGGGGCCAGCCCAGGCCAGCTAGGTTTGAAACCGAGTACAGACAAAAATAGCGCATGGTGAATACGCGAGAGATAGGAGCAAGAGGATAATGAAAGTGTACGGACGTTTAATGCTATATCTTACATGCTATATCTTAGTCTGGGGTACTACTACGAATACAAATTTAAACAAAATACTTGTGATACAAAAGAAAATATTGCGAAGTATTTGTAACGTGTCATACGATCACAAAAGCGAACCTCTCTTTAAACGTTTAAATTTGATCCCTGTAAATAGATTATATAAATATCGTTTATGCATTACCTATAAATCCGAAGTACAAACAAATCTTCCTGCCCTTAGTGAATTGGCGTCTCTCTCGCTAAGAGTAGCAACATGTCCTACTCGAAACACGGAAATTCGGACGCTCCCTATTTGCAAAACTAACTACGGTGAACAAATATTAAAGTATGCACTTCCTCGACTGCTTAATTTTCTTGATACTCACAACATTGACCTTCCGACAACATCTGTAAAAAATCTCCGAGCATTTTTTTCTTTTCCAAATGTGATTGCTTAGTTCTCATGTTTCATAACCTAAATTTTTGCTGAATTGTATAATGCTGTGCTTGCATGTGCTTTGATTTTGTTTGCCTCTTATATAGTCGCACCTTTTTTGTAATATTGTCGTGTTCTTATCTCTGAAATTGTTATCTTTTCTCTTGGTTTTCTTTTTGGATTACTTGTGCCACTGCTGCCATATGTAAGGAGGGGAGGGGGGGGGGGGGGGGGGGGCGAGGGCCCGTCAAGCTGCATGATGCAGCTTTTTTCTCGGTCTCCCTCCGTCATTTGTGTTTTGACGGAAAAATAAACATTATTATTATTATTATTATATTAGCGCCGTGATGTTTCGGTTACGCCCTCTTATGGCTCTCGTCCGTGACGTCACGTTCGTGACGTCACGAGTTGTAATCCTGGCTACTGATCGTCAGTTGAGAACTACTAGTTAGATCGTGCTTGTAAAAAGCACGAAGGAAGCTCGGAGTCAACGCGGTTTGAAACGAACGCCGTCAAAGTTGGGAGTCTGATATTGTTCTTACTTCCGTCGATGAAAGCAAAATTAACTTCATAAAAAGACGCCGTACTAACGACTGGTCAATCGCGAATGCCGACCACAGCGACGTTTTTGGTCACGCACGTCACCAATGGGTGATTTATACAAATCTACAGCGCAGCACGCGCTTATTCGTCGCTTCAGAAAGCGAGCAAATCACGCGCCATATACGCACGAACGCTGAAACTGGCACCGGCCACAGGCCCTTTCTTGGGAAAGGGCCTTCAGAGAAGACAAGCAATGCTATCATAATTTTATATAATCTGCAACGAAGCACCGCACAAACAACCCCGTTTTTATTTTTTTTTTAAGATAGAGTTTTGCATTACCATTTGCACAGGGAACTGCACGCGAGTTGTCTTACTAGACAAGCAAACAACGAACACTAGTTGAGAACATCTCAAGTGGGCGCCCTGTTATCGAGAGTTTTCAGAGCGTCACCAAACGCCCAAGAACCAGCTTACTTGTGAACAAGCACTACAGCGGGAGATTGCTCAAGACAGCCGAGGAGATAATTATGCGTTTCAGTCGGCATGTCTCCGGATTTTCGAGATAAAGAATGCATGCATCATCGGCAGCTGCTTTATCGTTTTCTCGACTAATCGCAGCGCGAGGCATAAGCTGCTCCGAATGACTCGCACACTCGGAAGAGATATTTACTTTCACAAGTAGTGTGCGGTGCTAACTAACGTACATGATGATTGAAGACCTGAGACTGTGTTTTGGAGAACAGAAAATCGTGAAGTAGAAAGAAAAAGGGACAGACAACGTCTCAAGACGTTTGTCCGTCCCTTTTTCTTTCTACTTCACGATTTTCTGTTCTTCAAACCACAGTGGTTTTCAATCATCATGTATAACTTACACCAGCTCGCCTGCACTTTAACTGTGTTTAACTAAGGTACACACGCACGAGAGCGCAGGTTTGCACAACGCTATGTTTGCTCAAACACTCGCGCATAGAAGTCATGGCACTTTCGTCGGCCACGGCCTCCTGTCCTTGCTTATGCCAGCACTGCACAAACTTGCGAGATTGGTGAACGGCTAGCTCAGCGGCGCGCTTCATAGATGCTCGCGCTTAATCCAGTAAAAAAAAAAAAAAATGCAGACAAAAACGGGTTACGAAAGATCGTCTTGTGAGTTTGCATAGCGTCACGTGTGCTATCTCAAATTCTGCTCAGCATCACTGTCGGAAGGACTTAAACCAGGCTCCTGCCAGGTATCAAACGTTTCTAGTATCTGTGCTTTGCTCGTAGTGAGGATAAAAAAAAAAATCATGTATATACTAAGGCTAGCAACCCCATAACTTGTCAGCTGCAATATAGTGACGAGAAAAATAAAAATAAAACGGAGGACATCACGATATTAAAACATGGGTACGCAATTTTTTTTTTTTTTCAATATCCGGAAAGAAACGAATGCAAAATATATCACTGGGTCCTAATATCAGACCTAAATTGGAGATCAGGTGCCCGCCCACAATTTACTAATTAATCATTTTGATTACGTCCGAACCCATTATCTTGCAGCAACGCCGAGATCGGATATGCCTCTCTCTAGACGTTGGAAGCGTATAGTGTCCCCTGCGGAAGTACGAATTGTTGGCCCGAGCTTACCCACAGCGAGGCTTGATGGCAGGCGTGAAGCAGAACGTCAGGTCTGATTACAAAACACTGCAGCGCTCACGACGACCGAACCAGCGCAAGTCCCGAAGCACCAGCGAACGCTGAAGCTCTCGACGAAATAAAACCTGAAAGCTGCCTTTGGGTTTCGCGCACTTTCAAGGTCGAACTGCGGCGGCGCCCCTGTTCCCCAGGAAGTGTCGTCACGAACGCGCACCGGATGTGAGGTCACCGGCGGACGCCACCGCCGTTTTGAAGTTTCCGATCGCCACGGCCGCTCCAAGTTCAGCGCGGCGTCGCCGCATCGTTGCTTTGTGAACAGCGCGTGCGCGCTTCGCGCCGGTTAATAGAAACGGAAGTAACTGATACGGAACAACATCTGTTCGGCTACACCATAGTTCGGCTTTGGGAGAGTTTCGGAGAAAGAGGCAAAGAGGCCGTCGCTCTAACCGGAGAAGTATTCGGGTATTGGAACTACAGTCGGTTTGTGTGAAAGGCGGCGCCTGCGTGGCTTTGAAGCCGTCCGTTCAGACGTTCGGTTATTGAAAACAATGCGTTTGGATCTTCCAGTATGCGACGCATATACACACGCGCGCACACGAAAGAAAATGAGAGAAAGAGGAGGAACGGGGAGAGGGGTTCAAGGCAAAACAAACGTGACGCGGAAGAATTGAAGGCTGAAAGAGCGACATTGACGCTGCAATGTTTTGAACTGTGCCTTTTGAAAGCTCTGTAGCACCTAGCAACCACATATAACAAATTAAAAAAAAGTCTCAGAAGCTATTATTTTCCGAACACTCGGGTCGAAAGTTTACTTCCTTGCCTCCTTATCAATTTGATCATAATTAAGAATGATTTAATTGTATTCTGTGGTATTTTATTGTATTGGTGATGTCGTTGGTTTGAGTCATTTTAAAACAACGTTATCTTCTGCCAAAGGTCAATTTCAGAGCAGTAAAAGAAGCTCCTGGAGCAGAGGCGTATACTTCTCATTGTGAACACTAAGATTCATTTGTTGATCGGTCCAAGCTGCTCAACTAAAAGGCAACGCCTCATTTGCGTTCCCTTTCTGTTTAATCATTTGTTAGCATTCATTGCATAACAACTTTGATTCCTTCAATAACTCAAGTAGCGCAACTAAACTCCCATTTGGCAGGGTTGGGCAGTATCGCGATACAAATGTATCGCGATAGTATTTCAGGAATACATTTCGTATCTGTATTTCTGTATCGCAATACATTTTTTTCGCCAGTATCTGTATTTCTGTATCGAAATACATTTTGAATGTTCCTTTGTATCGCGATACAATCAGGGTGAAATGTATTTCGTTACATTTTTTGAGAAATACTCAACCCCCCCCCCCCCCTCCCCCCAAAAAAAAATAAAATAAAAAAACCCGAACGCCTTTTTTCTTATTTTTTGAGGGCACCAGGGCCAAGGAGATGCTGGGGCATTGTTACCATGCTGACCAAGGTTCCTTCCGATTTTCTAAACTATTTTTCTATGCGTCCTCTTCTCTCTTCTGAGAACTGTTGCGCAGTCAGGGACTCGGACTAGGTGGCGTGCCAGGAGTAGAGTCCGAGCATCTTGTGCCACAGGTCCTTAGGTAGGGTTTTTTTTAGTCATTGTTTGCGGGCATCCAAAGCCCGCTGCTTACCGTCTCTTTTGCCTTAACGTACTCAGTACACCCATGCGGCAAAGTTGATTAACAGTTCGTTGCAGCACGAGCCTGGTGGTGGCTGACTTAAAATTGTAGGATATCTCGCGCAGTGAAGTTCAACAGATATTTGAATGCGTCCGCGGCTGCGCCCGTAATATTGCACGGCTCAAGGGTACGTCATCAGCCGACGTTAAAGTGGCCCGCTGCTGTGGTGATCCGAAACCCAGAAAGGAGGTCAGACGTGGCCTCGCTGTGCCGACCCATACTTTGTACACCTGCGACTCGTCTCGAGCACGCTGTTTCTCGGAGAGCTCGCACCTCTGCCGGCAATATAAGGTCGCAATCCACGACGTCTTATTTGGAGTATGCAAGGCAAAACTTGATGACTGCAATCCATGCGTCGGTGGCGCAGGGTCAGCAGGAAGCACCTTCACAACAGGGATGCCACCGTATCGTTTTTTCAACCGTAACAGAAGATAAGACATGTGTTCCAGTATGCTTCAGGTGGTCCACTATTCTCGAAAATCCTGCACAACCTTCAACGAGGTAAACTACAACGAAATTACATATTGTACTTTCATACAGCAGCGCGTTAAATTTCATCTTCAAGACCATACCTACAGATAAAGAATACCAGTTCATTCCACCGTGACGTCATGTGATAAATGTTGACAGGGGCGTCCTTATTTGACAAGGGCGTGGTGGCGTTTTGATGGGATTTAGGATGAAAGAGAATTTATTTAGAGGTCGAAGTCTTTTCGCATCCCTCGTCAGACAGACAGGATGTCAGGGAAGGGACCACGGTCAGTCCTTAATGGAACGTTTTTCTGAGCCCATTGAAGACTCCTCGCCGTCCGAAATCACTACCTTCAAGGCAAAGTGCCAAGCCTACGGGAAAGTAATTTCAGGATCAAAAATTTCCACTTCCAACTCCAAGCTTCATTTAATTTCGTCTCAAATAAATTGGAAAAATGTATTGCAGTATCAGTATTTCTGTATTTGTATTTCTGCCTTCCCTAAAATGTATTCCTGTATTTGTATTTCCAAATACTTTTTGCCTATATTTAAAATGTATTTCCGATACGTATCGCGATACACATTTACAGATATATTTCAGTATCAGTATTTTAGGTACTATTTTAAAGTATCCCAGTATTTGTATTTCCAAATACATTTTCGAGTATTTCTGCCCAACCCTGCCATTTGGGTATTTTTGGCCAGCAATTAAGCACCAAACACAGCACTAGGATGCTGATTGATTGATTAAACGTTTCCGGATTGCTATCTTACGTATAAAGAATCAAAGTTAAACTAAACATTATTCCATTAAAAAAAAAAGAAATTAGAATTTAATAATTATGAGTACAAAGTTGGATCATATGTTCAAGTTCAAAAAGATAGCAATAACAGTGTGCAATTCTGAAGTCAGTTAACATCAAAGCTTTTGTTAGTTATACACATCATTGGCAATTCAGCAGAATTTTATGATGACGCCAACCCGTTCTGTGGGCCATAAATATGTTTTTTCTTTATCTACCGGAACTCGTTAATGTTATTCTCAAACTTCCATTTCAATGCTGAGTTACCTTCGTTTTAAGTACACTATATCGACTGTGCCATTGAATGTTCGAAGCCAAAATAAAGACGTGGTAACTGAAGGAGAGATTTGACACACAAAACCAATCTTTATAGCGCAGCCCGAATAATTCCTCCTCGCTTTATACAAAAGAAAATGCCTCGTATAGCCACCACGCTAATATAGGCCTAAAACTGTCAAATGAGACGAAATCTCCGATTTTGAAACAAAATTACGCCATATAATGCAAGCAACTCGTCAGGACATCTCAGCACACATACGTACAAGCTGCGGTTTTATTTTGCATTTTTGAATGCTATGGCAGAGTATTGATATTGTCACGAATGACAAATCACGAGGAGGCTAATAACTGGTGAAACTAAACTTGTAATGGGGTAAACTTGTGCTGAAAAGAAAATAGAAGAAGGATAGCGTCGCAGGCGTCGATGTCGGCGAAACGGCAGGATCGAGCTCTGGGGCGAGACTGCAGCTCCGGCTCGCCACGCGGAGCCCCTTTTGTACACGCGTGGGCTTCTAGAACAATCGGCGCAGCAGGTTCGGCGCGTAGAGCATTTAGTCCTCGAACAAGCAACAGGGTTCTCGAATTTACTAGAACGCGGCATTTACAGAAACAAAAAAAAGGCGCGTCTACTTTCAGGTATCGAACCTCGGCCCTTCGGGTGGGAGCCAAACACGGTAGCCATTCGGCCAATGGCATTGTTTTTTTTTTTTTTTTTTGTTTTTTTATTCATTGCATAAAATTAGGTACCCATATCTTGTGGGCAGATACTGAATTAAAATTTATTCATACACAACAAGTCATGCAACAGGTTCACTCAGTCTAGCGTATTGTCGATAGATTCAAAAACACTCTTCACTTGGCAAACAAGTGAAGAGTGTTATGGGGAAGGGTTTCAAATATGAAGCTATAATCTTCCGTCTATCTTAAATAAATTTAAAAAACATAACTTGTGAAGCATTTAAAACCTTCATCTAAATGAAATTCGAGAGCATTGTTTTCACAAATGATAACAACATTGTCTTTGTGAGCTGTAAATATATCCGTTTTATATGTTTTGTTTCTTGTGTACATCCAGTCACTAGATGCTGTGGTTCTTTGTGTATAAGGACAAAATCCTTCCTCTAGCAGCAAAATAGAGTATATAAGTGTTGATTATAAAAGTGTTTTCTTTTTTTCGAACCCATTTCATTGTCGTTTGGGTTTCCCTGGTTGCTGTTGTTTTTGTTACCGTATGCCAATTGTAAGGCTGCAGAGGCCTTGTCAAGTCAAAACTGTTTTGACCATTTGCCTCTGCAGCCCACATCACTACCTGATGATGTAAATAAAAGTGAGTGATTGATTGAATGATTGATTGATTGATTGATTGATTGAAGTTAACTGAAGTATTGCGGCACTGACTTTGGTTTCGCCGCTACGTGTCTTACATCCATACGAGAATACAAACCCAGTATTATGATCATATCAAGTGGGACACTTTCATGTTTTTCAATATGGACAAAACGAATAGTATGCGTTGTTATATCTATTTCCATCAATCAATCTTTGTTTGCACAAAATGGTAGAACACGGGAAGCGTGCATGGCTGGCAGAAAGGTTACAAACCCATGCGTTGAGGCGCCTGCAAGCCAACTTTCCGTGAGTTAATCAGTAGACACAAAACAAAACACGACACACAACAGTTTCTGTTAGAGGCCGACCTATCGACGGCACAACACGCAACAGATCTGCCAGAACATAACAGCATCCCAACAATTAATGAACACGTGCTAAATTGCTTCCGGAGGTTTGCACAGTAGGCAGTTCACACCGTAAGGTACGAATATTCCCCTCCCGGCTAACCGCACTTTTACAGGCAACGTGTCACTATGCAGCCATAAAA